ATGCTGTTTCTGAAAAAAGAAAGAAGGAAAGAAGGAAAGGAAGGAAGGAAGGAAGGAAGGAAGGAAGGAAGGAAGGAAGGAAGGAAGGAAGGATGGAAGGAAGGAAGGAAGGAAGGAAGGAAGGAAGGAAGGAAGGACCTGTTTCCCACCGCTCCCTCATGCTCATGTCTCCTACCGGACTTCTTGGTGTGTTGTTGTACAATTCCCCCCCCCCCTCATTTTCTTTGGTGGTGTGAAACTTGTATATGCTTTTTAGGTGTTTAGAAGGTGGTGAGCCCAGTGTCATATACAGATGATCTGTTGTAGATTTATACACTTGAAACTGGTTTATAACTTTATTGACTAACCGATATCACCCTTATGAAAGTGGTGTTAACTTAAAAGAAAAACACACCAGTAGTTGTTTTATTTTTCCACCCATACTGTATCTTCATTGCCTAAGAGCATCCCTGCCATGTGGTAGGCACTCAGTAAAAGCTTGTGGAATGAGAAATACAAATTATTTGTCATAGGGAAACTAGCTAAAATTCTAGCTAAAATTCTGGCACCAGTGCCAAGTAAAAGCTGAGTCTGTTTTTATAAGTGGAAACATGCCCGTATCCAACTTAAGGTCATTCATCCTTTCACTGATAATAAACCTCCCACTCGGCTCCTTACCTTACAGGTTACTGAAATAATCTTACACAATGAGGGTTATGATGCCCAAGCACTGAAGTGAGCATTTTTCCTTACAGACACCTAAGAAGAGTGACTGGAAATCCCCCAGTTCTTCTAGGACAACGCTCAGAGGGCTCTGCCATACACCCCAGACTCTACTGTGCTCCCCTGAAAGGCTGCACAGATCCCCTGCAGCAGCAACTCCTGTCAAGCATGTCCTTTCTCAGTCCTTCAAAGACTCAATCTTGCATGCCTCGGAGTCACCTCCACCAGAAGTCACTCTGCAGAAAGGACACTCCCTGCCAGAAGCAGGAGCCTCTCTGCTGGGAAAGATGCCCAAAACTCCCGAAAGGCCAGGCAGCCAGCCCCCCGCATTTGTGCCGAATGGTACTGGGCCACCTTCAGTGAATTCCAGGCCCAAGAGCACCTCTTCTCCTGCAGTACCAGTGCTGTCAACTGCCCAGACCTGGAGGGAGAGTCCGGCTCCTGCCGGACACTGTCTTCAGTGGTCTCCGAGAGCGGCAGCCGAAAGGGCATGTGGAGCAACTGCCTCAGCGGGCACACCTCAGGGTCCGCAACCCCCACGTCCCCAGGCCCCCGGAGCTGCGCCGCCGCAGCCGTGGAAGGATCCAGTGCTCACAGCCCCAGACGGGCCACGGGACCCCACCATGACCCCTTCCCCACCCGTTTCTCCTAAGGAACCTTGTAACTCTCCTTTGTGTGACATTTCCAAGAGTCCACTCGAGAAATCATTCACAGAATCTTTCCCCACTGGACAGCGGGATGGGAAAGATGCCCAGACATCATCCCATATCGCCACACAGCTCTCCTGTCCTGCCCCTTCGACCCCCGCCAAAACCTCACAGACAGCTCTGTCTGCCATCGTCCCCCCTCCGCCCCCTTCTAAAAGTGGGAAAAGGCACAGAAAGACCTCGAACCCCGAAAAAAGCTTCCTGGAGTGCCAACCTCACACCTCCGCTGCTCCTAGAGCTGGCGTCACTGGAAACGCGGACGCTAGAAAGGACCAGAAGGAAGTGAACGCCGCTCCTCAGCCTTCTCCTGAAAGGCACCGTGACCCTGGGACTGGCTTCGGGAGTGACTGCCACACAGCCTCTCCTTGGCTCGTTGCAGAGGACACGGAGTACCTCAGTCTCGTGGATGGAGCTGAGGACCACGTCAGTGACGACTTGCAAAGCGATGTTTCTCTCGTGGGAGGAGGAAAGGGGTTAAAGATGCAGGGTACCGATGAGCCTTCCCTGACGAACCCTGGGAGCCCTCTGTCTCCACCTTCCTCTGGGCCCAGCTCCCCCTTTTCACCGTCATGCACCCTGCAACATAGTGCACACAAGAGGCGGCCCCAGGCTGCCGTGCAGCTGGAGAGCCTCGCTTCGCCCCGGCTTCCAGGAGCCCCTGGCAGCCCGCAGACCTATGAGATGGAGCTGGAGATGCCAGCCTCCGGCCTTCCCAAGCTGCGGATTAAGAAGGTCGATGCCAGCTCTTTGTCAGAGGCTGAGCCCCCAAGAAGGGACGAGGGTGCCCGCCCTGGTCTCAGCACATCATCCGCCAAAGCCGAAACTGCCTACATGTCACCCCCCTGCCCACGCCCCTCGCACAGCACCCCCGGCAAGGGCGGCGGACAAACCTACATCTGCCGGTCTTGTACCCCCACCCACTGCCCCTCTAGCACCCCCTGTCCGTCACAGACAGATGGTGGGGTTCCTTGGACACCGTCTCCCAAGCACAGCGGGAAAACCACCCCCGACAGCATCAAGGACTGGCCGCGCAGGAAGCGGGCGGTGGGCTGCTGCCTCGGCCCCGCTGCGGGGAGGGCTGCGGTCGCCACAGAACTTTCTGGCTGTGTGTCGCTGCTCCAGCCACAGGGAGAGGAGCCAGGCTTCGGCCTCGGCATCCGCCAGACTCCATTCTTGGGGGACTTTGAGCTCGAGGGGGTATGTCAGCTGCCAGACCAGTCGCCTCCCAGGGACAGTGTGACTGAGGCTGAGGAAGGCTTCTCCGGGGCACAGTTTGGGTTGGGTTCCAGGAAGAGACTCCTGTCTGCCAAGGGGGAAGCTGAACGCCCAGCAAAGAGAACCTGTGACGAGCAGAGAGAAGGCGTGGAAGTTCCCGAGAGTGAGGAGAGGTCTCCGAGCGCGGGAGCGCCACGGCTCCCCGCCACGGGCGACGACGAGGGCTTCGGCTCGGGTGAGTTCGCTGCCCGCGGTATCCGTCGGGTCCTGTTTGCTGAGGAGCTGCTGCTTAAGAAGGCCCGGGCTTCCTCGTCTGGGGCAGCACGGGCCAGTGCTGACCGAGTGCCATCGCTTTAGGCTCTGCCTCACCTTCCGGCTGTGCCGTGCGGAGCTGCCTCTCTGCCAGTGGCCTCCAGGCTCTGACCCAGTCTCCGCTGCTGTTCGGGGGGAGGACGCCCTGCTCTCGGCGCAGAGACCCCGGAGGTAATTCGTGGGAGGTCCTAGAGGCTCCTGCCAGGGTCAGACTGTACCCCGTGGGTGACTGCAGTTAGCACAGGGCTGCCAGGAATGCAGTTCTGGAGGAGACGTAGGGACCGCCCAGGGATGGGACAGAAGGTTCCATCCCTACAGTGACACGCCACATTACAACTTATGTGCATTTGAGCAGAATCCCCCCACCCCCGCCCTCCAAAAACATCCTACCAAATGACTTGAGCCTCTCGAAGACAGTGACAGAAGTGGCACACCATGCCCTGCTCAGCCGTAGTCACGGTGACCTGAAGAGGAAGGAGCGTTAGAAATAGCCGTTTCCCCTGTGCGTCCTGTACGTTCAGCGCGACGGGACTGGCTTTGCCGGTCACCCTTCCGACTCCGGGATCCTGCCTGGAGAAGAACTGGGTGGAGCCTGGGGATCGCTCAAACCTCGTAGGTTTCCTTCTTCTAGAACTTGAGGGTGCAGTATAGGAGATGGGGGCCTCCGGTGATCCTCACCCTTCAAGACCATGATACAAATCATGCAAAATAGCATAAAGCCCCCAGACCTGAGACAGAGAATACTGAAGACGATCCCACTAAAGAACGAGACGCGCTCTGCTTTTCAGTCACTGCTGCTGACGGTCGGGGGCGGGAGGGCTGGAAAGTGCACAGCATCTGTGCGGGAGGGAACTTCCTGCAGCCCTCTGTGGTTCAAGCCGTTTTTTAAATTCTGTTCTGTTACCTCCTGGGTGCTAACTCTCTCTGCCTTTTTCTAGATGAGGATGTGGATGTCTTTCCCCCCCTGGCAGATGACTCTCCTTTTAGCCAGTCGTTCTCCAGGAGACGCCCCATCAGCAGAACTTACACGCGGAAGAAGCTGATTAGCTAGTAAGAGTGGAACCGGCTTAACTGCAGACACTGCTGAGCTCATCCGGGTCCACTGCACGCCCTGGGCTGAAGTGCCCGGAGCGGTTTCCTCTGGGGCTATCGGGGACTCCAGATGCATACAGACCGTGGAGGAAATCTCAGCAGTGAACCCGGAAACTCAGTTTGTCTGAGCCGGGGCGCTGCTGACCTGCCCCGTATGTGAGCCTGGGCTTGATGCACAGGAATGGGAAGAACCAGGGTGGAATGGAACTGGGGAAGTTCAAAAGCTGAAGGTAAGGTCGCCCCATGGGCATAAAGAAAAGAGGGTCTTGGTCCCAAGCCTCCATCCCCCCCAGGTCCTGCCACTTGTTAGGGAGGCGCTGTACCTGGTGCTGTCGCTCGGGCAGCCTGGGAGTCAGGAACCAGGCAAGGAGCTGGCACACCGGGACCCCAGGCCAGGACCACTGTGACTCGCTTGTGAAGTGGGAGAAGGGACCCCACGCCTGGGTCCTTGGAGCAGCTGCTGTAAGGCTGGGGCGCTGAGACAGGCGGTGCTTGTCAACTAAAGCACCAAACAGAACGAGGGCTCTGGCAGGCGGCAGAACCCATGCTCCACACTCCCTGCAGTAAAGTCACGTCTAGCCGCTCAGCATTCGGGCACGTCTGCTTCACGTTCCAGTATGGGTTTGGCCACGAGCGTAGAGCAGCCACCCCGCGAGGTCTGCCCGGAGAGCTGCCCACGGCACAGTCCCTGCTGTCCACGAGGAGGCACACCTGGCCGTGGGTCTGCCTGCAGGAGTGCCCGTGGGCCCGACGGCCATCGAGTCTTGGCCCAGAGTTGACGCAGCTGTCCCACGGCCTCTGGAAAACTTCAGCCTGTTGTGTTCCCAGGTCTGATTCCTACTACCATAAATCACACTCTAAGTAAAAAGTCCCATTTCTCCAAAGATTGTCATTTATTACAAAATGGTTTTATAAAATCCTAAAAACGTACTAAGTTTCCCAATTCCCCCCACATACATAAGACCATTTAGACCACAACCTGTTGCTGCTGGCCATTCTGTCACTCGCCCTGGCCGAATCCCAGAACTGATGGTGCACACGTGCAGACCCGAGGCCAGAACTATCCTTAAGCAAGCTCTCCAGGCTGGCTATGGGGTACCACAGCTTAAAGGAGGTGACTGGCAGGAGTACGAATGTCTTTTTAAAAACGACTTGAGTCCGGTTCATTTGGGTCATGGCGCAGATTTGTTGGCTCCAATCGTGTGAAGATCAGGACCTGACTTGGAGTGAGGTGAGGACTGTCCACAGATGCAAAAGGAGGCCGCTGTCCCTTTCAGCAGGCTCCGCTCGGGAGCCTACAGGGGGTTTCTCCTGACATCGATCATCCCTGGGCTGGCCCTGCGCAGCAGCTCCCGCCGGGGCCTGGCCAGGGGCCCGAGGTTCCAGGGCAGGCTCCCCTCCCCCACAGGGACCGCTCGCCCCAGGAGAGGCTCCGCCGCTTCCCACTGCCGCCGGTCCTCTGGCGAGCCCTGCTCCTCACCGCACAGGCTGGAGCGTTTCCACGTCAGTGGGAGCGGGGCCCGGACCAGGTCCCGTACGTCCTCCCGGGCACGGGCGGAACCCTCAGCTACAGGGGGCTGCCAGAGAACCTCAGGTGCTGGGTGGGGCTCATCTTCATTTCCAGGGGGTAACCTGTTCTCCAGGCACAGGGTCCTCTTCTCCCCACCTGTCACGGACAATGAGAATGACATCCTTGTCAGGTGTGGAGGCATCGGCAGCTCCCTGGAGCCCGAGCTTCCCAGCACCCAGCACAGTGAGCTGCATATGAAATGACCCAGTAACAGCTGCAGGTGCCGTGGTCTGCCCGGAGAGCTGCCCACGAACTTCCCTGAACAAAGGAAGAAACCGGACATGGGGTCCAGGCGGGGGCGGTGACACTGACCCCGGCTCTGGCCTGTGGCGTCCACCCCACTGAGCTTCTGTTTCAGTTCCTGGTTCATCCACATGTGACGGCCCAGCTCCTTCTCCAGAGCTTGAATCCTGGTCTCATACAGCCTCTTGCTGTCCGCTAACCCTTCGCCAAGGTGGTCTAGAGGGAACGGGACAGGGTGATGAGGTGCTGCGGGCAGGCGGGGCGGGGCCTGGGAGTGCGTGCGGCTGGGCGCCTCACCTCGGCTCTGCTGCAGGAGGAGCTGGACGTTCTGCTCGTGCTCCTTCTGCTGCAGGGTCAGCTGGCGGTCCATCTCCAGGCGCTGCCTCTCCAGAGCCACCTCCAGCCAGTAGACCAGCCGTTGCTGCTCCGCCAGCTGCATCTCCAGCTCCGAGAAGGCAACCTGCTGCTGGTGCTGCTCCTCCCGCAGCGTCACCACCTGTCCCGAGATCCAGGTGACCCTCAACCAGGGACGGCAGGCAGACCCACCGCCATGGCACACCTCACTAAGAAATCGGTCTCCACAGCGTCTGGGCAGCAACTTAGGAGTGATGAGAGCTAGCTCTACCTCAAGATGAGTCTTACTTCCCATCTCTGCCTCAAACTCTCCCAGTCACACACTAAGACGCTTTGAAGCTGATCCCTCGCGCTGTGGGGTTTCATAGAAGCTGAGATTTCTCAGCCGCGGTTGTACGGACACTTTGGGTCAGATCGATTTTGGTAGCGGGGGCCGGGCCTGTGCATTGCAGGGTGTTCAGCAGCATCCTTGGCCTCTACCCCCGACTATCTTGACAACCAAAGTATCTCCAGACATGGCCCCCATGGCCCGTGGGCTAGCCGAATCGTCCCCTGTTGAGAACCACTGATGTGGTCCAGGGTCCCCCTGAAGCTGTGATCAGAACAGACGGGGCGGTGGGGATGGGGATGGGGGTGGGGGGAGGGGCTGCACTAGGTACGAAGGGCTGTAGAGAAGAGCCCTGCAGACGAGCTGGCCCTGGTCCTGTCCCCCACCTGGGAGGAACTGGGACCTTGTCTGGAGCTGCCCTCAGAAACCCGCCTCGCGAGTTCCGGAAGGACTAGGCCAGGGTCATGGGCCGGGGACCTACCTTGTCAAAGTACTTGCAGAGGAGGGCTCTGGTCTCTGAGGACGAGAGGTAGCTGAGCTTGGCCATGAGGTTCATCTCGCACTGGGACAGCAAGGAGGCCGAGGCCCGCAGCACCCGCTGGCGGCACGTGATGGCCTCATTCTTGTACTCGATGGCAGCGTCCAGGGCCTCGATGGCTTCGTCCAGCTGGAACAGAGTCCGTTCCTCCTGTGCAGACACAGGGACACGTGGAGCATGGGGACTGGCTCCCTGAGCCGCACGACGCCCGCTCCCCAATCGACTGAGTCCTGGGTGCCCCCTCGCCCTGAACACACGAGCAGCATGTTGAGAGGCGCATCAGTCACCAGGGCAGGAACAGGGACCCTGGCAGGGAGGTTGTGGCTGCAGCTCTGAGTGACCTGCATTCCGGAAGCTCAGAATGCCCTGCACTGAAGAGATGGCACAGCTGGGCCGCCACAGAGGTAGCAGAGGCGGTGCTGGCGAGTGACCCTCACATGGGCTTCCTCTGCTGCTCGGGGAAGGCACACAGGTGTGGTCCCAACCGCACTCCCACACAGGGAAGTGGTCAGTGCAGCGCAGGATACAGAGTGAGCCCAGATTCCAGCTGCAAGGGACCTGTGGGCGCGGCCGGGCCCAGCCCCTGTGTGTCCCAGACAGACAAGGGACTAGAGCAGCAGCCAGTCCAGAGAGCTACCCTCTGGGGGCTGTCACGGGAAGGACGCGTGTTCCAGAGTGCCAAGGCCGGGCAGGAAGAGGACAGCAGACAGCGGAGTGCCGGGCACTGGGCCAGCCCATGGGACGTACCTCGGGCGACAGCAGGCTGCCCCGCCGCAGCTTGCCGTCAATCTCCAGGCGCTGCTTCAGCAGCAAGTCCTTCTCCTGGCGCAGGGCGTCGATCTCCCCGCGGATCTGCTGCTGGCTCTGGGCGCTGCCCTGCCGCAGCTGCCCGCTCTTCTCGGAGAGCTCCTTCTCCAGGTGCTCCAGCCGGCTGGACACCCGCACGATGTCCTCGGTGAGCGCCTGGGGGCGACACTGCCTGGGATTAGGGGCAGAGCAGGCCCCACCCTCACAGAGGGACGGCCCACACCAGGGACAGCTGCTGGGTTTTGTGTTTGGCAGGCCCCTCAAACCCTCACGGCATCGGCATCGTTAGGATTCACCTGACAGCAGGAAGCTGGGCTCAGAAGCGTCCTGCTCACGAGGGAGCAATGAAGCCCAGCGGACCCATGCCGGTGACGACTGTCTCGTCCCACCTTTCTGTACCCGCTGCTCCTGCCTGTGCGGTCTCAGAGCAGGGCTAACGGGGCAAAAGGGACTGGGGGGTGGACACCCTGAGGGGTTCTGCCCACACATCAGAACCTGCGCCAGAGACATCCCGGAGCCCTGGAGGTCATGAGCAGGACAGGACCCTCACCTGGCTGGACCGCAGGCGCTTGCTCTCCAGCCCCGTCTTCTCCTGCATCAGGGCCTCCTTCTTGGCCAGGATGGCCTCCCGCTTGCGCAGCTCCTCGCCCAGCTCCTCCAGCGCCCGCCGCTGCTGCAGGGCCTTCTCCATCTCCTGGTCCAGCCACTTCTTCTGCTCCTCGATCTTCTGAGGGGAGGCGGGAGGGAACTCAGCCCTCGCACCCCCATGGCGGGGAGCAAGGCGTGCCCAGCCGCGGACACCGCCAGGCCGCGGGTCTCCTGGGGCGCAGCCCAGGCCCAGCCCACCTGCTGCTGCTCCAGGCTGACCACGGAGCCGCTGCTGCCGCTGCGCCGCTTCCTCTGGAACGCCGCGATCTCCTCCGTCTTGATCCTCAGGACCTTCTGCTGCTGCTCGTGCTTCAGCTCCAGCTCCTGGGGGCGCGTGGGGACAGGCTCAGGCGACAGGCTCAGGGCAGGGCCATGTGCACCCCTGTGCCCAGCCCCACGCCCCCGCGTCTCCCCGGGGCCCAGGGGACAGAAGTCAGGACGATCCGCCTTCTGTGGTTCATCTCACTAAACCCTCACCCCGGCCTCGAGCTTCCTATAACTCTCCTCACTAGTGGGTGGAAAAACCACCTCAGGGAGGCCGAGTGACCTGCTGGAGAAGCCATGGGACCTAGACGGAGCCTGGCGGGGACCCAGGGGACCTAGACGGAGCCTGGCGGGGACCCAGGGGACCTAGACGGAGCCTGGCGGGGACCCAGGGCGCCGCACCCAGCCAGCCGAGAGCCCGACCTTGACGCGGTGCTGCCGCTTGCTCATCTCGGCCTCCAGGCGCCGCTTCTGCTCCGTCTCCTCACGAAGCCGCCTCTGCAGCTGGCCCTGCTGCTGGCGCATGAGCTGCACGTTCCTCTCGAGCTCCTGCAGCCGCTTCTCGCTCTGGGCCGACAGCGACGCCAGCCGTTCCGTCGCCTGCTTCTTCTCCTTCAGCACCTGGGACCGAGCAACACAGCCTCCGCTGGGCCGTCGCGAGCCTGGCACGGTGCCTGGCACTTCACGGGGAAGGGCAGGACCAACCAAAGAACCATGATAGAGGGACAGAAAGAAGGGAAAGCAGGCGGACAGACGATGGACTAATAAAAATACGAAGGGACTACTAATGGGAGGTGTGCTGACCGTTACTATGTACCGGGCACGTGCCCAGTGCTCTAGGTATGTTAAATGACCCTAATGAGCCGATCACAAAGTATGATTGTTGTTACCCCCACTTAATAGATTAGGAAACTGAAGCGCAGAAAGGTTAGGAAGCTCAGCTGAGGACACACAGCTAACAAAGCTAGGATTCGAGCCCACGCTCTTGACCACCCCACTGTACTATCTCCTGGACACGTGAGCTGACAGGACAAGGAATGAACGAGGGACGGACAGCTGCAAAGACGTCCGGATGGACGAAGGTGGGTGGGTGGACTGAAAGATGGATGAGCTCACAGACAGGTCAAAAACAGATGGACAGATAATGCATGGACCGATCAAAGGGAATAGAAAGATGAAAGGGTAGATAGACAAATGGACAGTTGGTCACATTAACTGATAAAGGGATAAACAGGTAGATTAGAGGGACACATGGGCTGATGGGGAGACATATGGAAGACGGGAGGGAGAGGTAAGTGAATGGGTGGCTGGAAGGGCAGACACATGGCCAGAGGGTGGGGAGGGCTGCACGAGGAAAGGTTGACTTTCTTCGATGCCCACCCCTCACCCTGTCCTTACTCTCCCAGACGGTTGTCAGGCAGGACCCGCCTCCCCGCCTCTGCTGTGTTTACAGCTCAGCTGAGCCTCAGTACTACCGGCTTGGACATAATACTGGCCTCAGCCTGGGAGGCCAGGAGGGTGTCGGCACCACCAGCCAGGAAGGCCTGGGCACCCACAGCTTCCACACTGAGCTTGGGCCCCAGAGCCCACGCGTCTTGATCCCAGGACCCCCACCCCCCACCCCCTACCAGCCTGGGTGGCCGACGCTGCCAACCCCAGGGTCCGACGCTGACCTGCACCTGGCTCTGGGCAGCAGCGACCCTCTTGCGGAACTCCTGGAGCTGGGTCCGCTCGCCAGCGTCCTGGGGCTCCCTGCCCTCGAGCTCCCGCAGCTGCCGCTGGCCTTCGTTCAGCTCGGCCCGCACCCGCTCGGCCTCCTGCTCCAGCTCCTGGATGCGCTGGCTGTGCTGGCGGTTCAGGGCCTGGGCCGCCTTCCCTGGGAGGAGGAGGGGGTGCGGCGTCAGCACGGGCAGCCCCGCCCCCACGAGGGCCATCTGCCCGTCCCCCTGGGGGCTTTTCCAGACCTCTGTCAGCCGCGGACACTCCGGGGGCATTGCCAAGCCCTTGTACCGCTAGCAACACCATTTACTCCACGTTTTTTCTTTAAATCGACTCACTTTTGAGATCAGCCTCATCCATAGCAGTGAGTGACCCAGGGAAGTTACAGATGAACTAGGTTTTTTTTTACCCAGTACGTGCTAACAAGTGGTACAATTGTGACTCGACGAAGGACCCTCTGCTCCACACATGAACGCGCCTGAAACACCCATGCGCTGAGACGGAAGAACATCCACGCTTCCCACAGCAACCGACAGATTCGACGTAACGCCTATCGAAATACCAATGGCGTTTTTTCACAGAAATAGGACAAAAAATCCTCCAGTTTGTATAGAAACACAAAAGGCCCAGAAAGGCCGAAGCGATCCTAAGAAAAAGGAACTAAGCTGAAGCTATCACGCTCTCTGACTTCAAACTATACTAAGCTACAGTCATCAGAACAGTGTAGTACTGGCAGAAAACCAAACCAATGGGTCAGAATTCTGAGCCCAGAAACAAACCCACAGTAGTATATGTGGGCAATTTTCGACAAAGGACCCAAAAACATACAACGGGGAAAAGGAAAGGCCTCTTCAATAAATGGTGCTGGGAACATTGGAAAGCCACATGCCAAAAACATGAAACTAGACTGCCATCGGGCACCCTGCACAAAAATTAACATGGATTAGGCACTTGAACGTAAGACACGGAACAATAAAATACTTAGAAGTAAACATAGGTACTAAACAGAGAGGTTTTTGTGAACTTGACCCCAAAGGCAAGGGAAGTAAAAACAAAAATGAATGAGACTACGTGAAACTCCAAAGCTTCACAGCAAAAGAAACTGTCGACAAAAAAGGCGACCGACTAAATGGGAGAAGAAATTTGCAAACCGTAATATCTCCAAGATATCAATATCCCAAATATATAAAGAACTCATACAACTCCACAACAAAAAATCAAATTAAAAAACGGCGGAGGGCCTGAACAGATGCTGTACCCAAGAAGACACATCACCTCCAACAAGATATCAATATATAAAGAACTCATACAATCCCAAATATATAAAGAACTCATACAATTCAACAACAAAAAAAGATGGCCAACAGACAGGAAAAGACGCTCAACCTCACCGGCTATAAAGGAAATGCACATCAGAAGCACACGGAGACAGCACCTCACATCTGTCAGAATGGCGAAGCTGTGGAGAGAAGGGACCCCATGCACTGCTGGTGGGAATGTAAGCTGGTGCAGCCATGATGCAAAACTATATGAAATTTCCTCAAAAAATTAAGAATACAGCCACCATGTGACCCAGCAATCCCTCTTCTGGGTACCCACCCCCAAAATTGGGAAACATTTATAACGACACATGCACCCCGATGTTCACTGCAGCATTATTCAGTGGCCAAGGTATAGAAACAACCCGTGTCCTCCGATGAACGATTGGATAAAGATGACGTGATACACAATCACAATGAAATACTACTCAGCCCCATAAAAAATGATGAAATATTGTCATTTGCCACAACGGGGACTGATCTTGAAAGTATCTCGCTAAGTGAAATAAGTCAGACGGAAATAAGAACCACAGGATATCACTCGAATGCGGGACGTAAAACAAAAAGTGACAAATGAATACACTCAGACACAGACAACAGTGTGGAGATGATCGAGGGGCTGGGGGAGGGTGAAGAGGGAAAATGGGGTCACATATATGGTGCCAGAAGGAAACTAGATAGATAGATAGGGTGGCGAGCATGCCATACTACGCACAAATGATGTGTTACAGAAACAGACACCTGAGACTCATATAATGTCATTAACCAACCTGATCCCAGTAACTTTATTTATCAGCAACGAAAAAAGATGAAACAAATATGGGAAAATCTCGATAACTGCTGATCTCGGTCACATGTATATATATTGGGACCCACTGTATTAATCTCTCCTTTGCATCTGTCTGAAATTTTTCATAATGCGCTTTATAATAAATTCATAATTATTAAAATAAAAAGGTTCAGCTTGTCACCATTTAAAATCATCCCCTACTCCATCACATGTATCACCAGTAGTAAATGTAGCATGATTTAGGGACACTGTGTGTTCCCCAAGACCGAGAGATTCTGTGCCCAGCAGTGTCTGATACAGAGCGGGTACTTCATAAATAATAATAATGCTTCCCAAGAGCTATTCCAAGCCCTTCACCTGAATTGACTCATTTCATCCTTCCTCGCAACCACCTGGTGAAGCAGGTACCACCGTACCCATTTTAGGGATGAGAAAATGCACGGAGGGGCTATCCTACCTGCTCACGGTCACACAGCTGGAATATGCTGAGCTGGGTATCAAACCTAGGCCATCGGGCCCCACTCTGAGCCACCCTCATGTGGGGGCCGCCCCAGCACCCACCCCCTCACCTGTGCGGACCAGCTCGCCAATGAGTTCCTCCTTCATGCGGATATTGATGGCCAGCTCCCGGATCTTCTGCTGGGCCTGGGCCAGCCGCCACTCGGAGGCAGCGGGGGCCTGGTGGGGCCGAGCCTGGGCCTTGCTCCCACGCACCGCTGTGAAAGGCCACTGTCAAGGCTGCTGCCACAACCAACAATGCGGGAGGCGTGCCCTGGGCAGGGGTGGCCAAGGATGATGCGTGGACTGTCCAGGGTGGCCAATCCAGGACCATGGAGGGGAGAAGGGGTCGGAGCCCTCTGCATCCCCTGAAGCTCACCTCTGGGCTCTAGGACGGCTGCACCCAGCTCCTCAAGGCGAAGCTCCGAATCCTTCCTGCTGTGAGGACTCCCTGGGCCGGCCTCCGGCCTCTGGCTCCCCTTGCTGATCCCGTCTCTAGAAGGCAGAAGCAGGAGTCTGTACCCGTCCCCAGCTACTCCTCGGGCTGGAGAGAGGAAGACAAGCCACTGGCTTTCCATCTCCTCGGGGTCAATGGGTGGTTTGGCAGAACCCCAAGGCCAGGGGCCATGCTTAGTGGGTGCAGGGCAGCTGGGGACACCGAGGACTGCCACGGAGGCCGAGAACCAAGAGGCCTGGTCCACTCTGCAGCACACCGACCCCCACAAGGACTCAGTGCAGAGCCCACTGCTCCTGTCCGCTAACCCTCAAGGGCCAGCTGGGCAACGTAGGTGAGGGCACCTTGAGACCACAGGTCTTCCCAGCCTGGGCCCTGAGCCAGTCCTTGTCAGGTTGGCAGTGGGTCCGACTCACCTGCGCAGGTGCAGGGTCCGCTGGGGTGGCGGTTGTTCCCCCTCTTCTTCCTCATCCTCCGATGCAGTTGAAGAGCCCCCTTCCAGTCTGTCTGTCTCCTCCAGCAACTTGACTCCTGCCTCCCTGCCATCCGTCACCTGCTGAAGGAGTGTCAGGGTTTCAGACACGAAGCCTGCAAGGGCATCCTCTGTCAATCAGCCACTCCCATCTACAAGTCTTCGCTCACATCTAAGCCCCGCCTGCCCCTCATTTGTCTACCTCAGTGACACCTCGCAGAGGCCAAACTCGAGTCTGAGCAGGAGCTTCCTCCCTGCCCATCGCCCCCTCCCCAGCCCCCGCAGCCCCTGGTACCATCTGCGTTTCTCGTATACAGGTCATCTGCACCCAAGTCTTATCTTGCTAACAACGCCTGGCCAGAGTGGTGGCTTCGTAACAGACTCTGTGAAGTGAGAACTGAGAGGACCCAGAGCTTTCAGGCAGATGCAGGAGCAGCCTTTGTCCAAAAGCCCCCAGTGACAGAACTAGGAGAAGGAGACCAGGCTCGGGGAGATTAGGGCTCATGGAAAAGTAAATTTGCAAAGAAACACAGAAGTAATAAGTTCCCCATCTCTGGAGGTATGCAGGTTACCCATCCAGTGCTGGAAGCCAGAAGCCCTCTGTAACCCCCAGGCAATCTCCAGCTATCCCAGGGATTCTCAGGGGCACCACCCTCCGGAGGCCCTACCGAGTCTCCTTCCTCTAAGGATTCAAGAGGGAGCATTTCACAGCTGGCTCCATGAAAGCACAGGGCGAAGGACGTTCTCCAGTATGACCCTTCCCCCGCCTGAGCCTGCCCGGTCCAGCAGGCCCAGCACACGCCCAGCCTCGCCACCTCCTCACCTCTACCCCGTTCTCGGGGCCAACTGCATCTCCAGGAAGGCAGGCAGGGGGCACCATGCCTAGCACATGGCTGTGGACACCCCCCAGGGGGGCTGTGTGAGGCCGGGGCACAAAGGACCCAGGAGCCAGGCCCTGCAGGAGCCCTGGGGCCCCCCAGCCAGGCCGCACCAGCTCTAGCCGCAGCCGCAGCTCCTCCATCTCCTCCTGCTGCTCACGCAGACGGTCGCTCTGCAAGACATGGTCCAGGTGCTGATGGGGGACACGGATGGGGGCAGGGGCGCTGCTGCAGGGCTCTGAGGCAGGAGGACAGGGGACTGAAGAACAGGTCTGAGGCCGCTTGCTCCATCTGGGTTAAAACTGAGGGCCAAATCCCTCTGACCACCTCTTGGTTCCCATCCCCCCAACACACAAACTGCGCTAGTTGGGGCTCAGGCTCTCACTCCGCCCTGCCGCCTATCACTCCGCCCTGCCGTCTCCCATCCAAGTACACGTCTTCCACGTCCATTCCAATCGCTGCCACCAGAGGGCGCCAGGAGCAATGCTGATCCAGTTAACTTGGGATAAAAAGAGTGACTCCAGCACGCCACCTGGCTTGCCCCTCCAGTCCCACCTCACGTCCACACCCCCTGCACTATTCTGCTCCTCACCTGCACTTTTGCTCGTTGGTGCATCCCCTCGTCCCTATCCACCCTGCCAGAACCCACCTTGACCTATCTTTCATCCTGGGAAATGGCTCAATTTTACCTCCTCCAGGAAGCCTCCCCCCACCGTGGCGGGCCGGCCGCACCTGCAGCTTGTACTGCTCCATGGCGTCCTCCAGTGCGGCCAGAAAGTCTCGGTTCTCTTCCTCCAGCCGGGCCACCTGGCTCTGCAGGGCCAGCAGTGCCCCCTCATCTTCCTATGAGGCAGGGAGAGAGGATTCAGGGACAGCACTGATGGACCAGCCTGCCTGTCCCTGGGACACTGGGTCCTCTCTCTGCCCTGCCAGGGCTTCCTTAGCCCTACCTGCTGCTCTGCTCCAAGCCCCGCCTGCAATGGGAGTCTCAGATTGCAACGGGCCTGTGGAGCCCTCTGCAAGCCATTGAGGCCATTTTTATTGTTAACATTTGTATTGTTTTGTTTTGTTTTAAACGCCTACAGCACCTGGTCTTCCTAGATGGTCTCCCATCCAAGTACTAACCAGGTCCGACCCTGCTTAGCTTCCAAGGTCAGAGGGATCACCACGTTCAGGGTGGCATGGCTGTAGACTATTTTTATTGTCAATAAAAATATAATTATTAACATCACCACTACTATAACAAACTTACTGAGCCTCCGCCAGCATGCTACGCACATTACACCTTCAGCTCTAAGGCCACCCCTAGGAGATGGACACCAATGTCATCCCTGTTTCACAGACAGAGACCTCGAGGCTGGGTGACTTTATGGAAAGTGACCATGTTCGTCCACAGAAGTGCCTCTAGATGCCCAAAGTGCTCTGCTAATGGACAGGGGGCAGGGGCGCTGCTGGCTGTCGGCAGACCCTCCCCCTTCTCCTTCCCGCCCCTCCCCAGACTGCACCCTGCACTTGGTCACCTTTCTGCCGCCGGGCCCCTGCGTGGCCTGCTCCTCGGCAGCGGAGGCGCTCTCGATGCCGCTGTCCGGCCCGGAGGCTGAGCTCAGGGCG